TCTGTTACCTGGGCCAGATTCAATCTACAGGGGTGCCACCACACGCTTCCCCGCTGCGCTATGTCCACCCTTTCTAACTCCAGAACTTTGAAAGGTGTAAAAGAAACCAAATGATTAGCATAAGGTGTGCAGTCTACAGCCATTGTGATGGCTACAGTCGTGTCCGCCATTCAACACAGGTAGGCGTGCGGTTGTGGAGCGGCCGACGTGCCTGTGCTTCATATCATCTTAGGTGATCTACTTTTTACAAGAACATCTTTATTATCATTCATGGAAAATATGTAAATCAAACACGATCGATACTGAGCATTCATGAGAATGAATAGATCAAATATAATCAAATATAAGAACACTTTTCATCAATACGGATTTTATAAGGTCACTATTTACTTCCTATTTGAACAGATCCGGCAGCTGTGGTAATTGACATTTCTCCGCCGAAATCACATCGCTGATATCCACAACTCGTCCTTGATAGCGAACCTACAAGGACAAACGGTTGATTGTAAATGAAGGAAAAAGTACATGAAAAAAACTTTGGTGGAAGGATACGCCATGCATATGTATTTAACTCGGAAAAGTGGCAATGATCTGTGGCACATGGGGCTCCTGTAATAGCTTATCTGAAGCAGATCTAAAAAGAGAAGATTGCAAAGTGATAAGACTTCTTGGAGTTGCGCCATGCACTCGATTTTTAGTCATTCATGGCGAAGGTACGCATGCATATATTCTCAAATATTTTTCAATACAGTTAAATTATTTATTTGATTATTTATTGAATCTGCTTCTGGCACATAATGTTCAACGTAAGGTGTTAAGACACCATTATTTAAGCGCAGACAAAAGGTGAAAATATAAAGCATCCGGCCTGGCCAATTCTTTTTTTAGAATGCGCCACGCATCCCAAAAGGATTCTATTCGGAACCGTAGTGCCGCTTTCATGCGAGTTGGCCTGTACAATGGCACTTGGGGACAGGGTCAACCATCACGTTCGCACTTGTTTGAAAATTTTACGACCCCCCCCCCCCATTAGGGAGTCTCGAGGGAGGGAGGAGGGGGGAAAAAAGCGGCAAATGCTCCAATTCTGACTACTTCACGCTACTAACCCGTCTAAATGGCAGCCCCTTTCAACGACCTCCGTTCCCGCTATAATAACCTTGCCCAACCTCAAAATGCGACCCCCACAAATGCGACCTCCTCGTTCGAATTGTGTGAACGGATAGTTGACTCTGCTCGGGAGTCGTGGTGTGCAAACTAATGGTGCTATGTTCCCAGACAAGTTTGGCACCAATCGCCGGCTTTGGAGAATTGCAGAACTTCGATGGCCTGGGCGGCATTCGTTCAGGACTCGATCTCCTGACCGTGCGGATGATGAACGACGCCACGTGTCCATTGCACGCCTTCCGCCCAGGAGCTACTAATCTGGCCTAGAAGAAGTAAGGACTTACAGTAAGACTGCCTCGATTTGATTCCACAGATTATGCAGGGGAGACGGCGCTCCCCAGCAGGGTCAACCCTATGTCGCGACAAGTACCAACGGGGCGGGGGAGGGGGAGGGTCGTATTTTGTTCAGTTTGTAGGTGGGGGAACAGCCACCATGATGGCGAGGGTGGTGAAGGGGGGGGGTCGTGAAATTTTTGATTGAAAGGAGGGGTCGTAAACAATTTCCGAAAAGTGCCAGCGCTAGAGTCGATTCTGCTCCGTAGTCTATTTACGAATCACATTCTTGAAAACATTATCAATCCCTACCGGTCCCTTTCCGCCCTCGTACTTGTCAGAGACAATTTCGTATAATTCCTGCTAATAAATGAATGTAAAAGTACCTCTAAGAATACACTGTCTGGACTGTTATCGCATTCGAGTCGCGATCCAATCGGCTCTCCTTGAACGATTCGTTTTCGTCCGAAATCCGAGATCTTCTCGTGTTTTCACGTTGTACAGACGTGCTTCGAATCCTTAAAGTACGATTCTGTTCCAAGTTTGAGGCGTGAAAATAAATAAAATATTCGACAGTAAAAATGTGCTGAATGTGAATCCGAAAATGCTTCACATCAAAGGCTGAAATGGGGCGTATCCGCGCAGGTTTACGTGACGTGTTGTTAATGAAGTGAGAGGAACGTCTTAAAGTTAAGGAATCAAAGTTTCCGTGAAGAATTTATTCATCGTTCAAAGTTCTAGAAAAAATTTTAACATTTTTTTCCAGCTCGCATAGCGTTTTGCTTGTGCAGAAAGGGAACTGGCGCTTCTGCTTGTGCAGCAAGGAAAACTAGCGAGCATCATTCTTATCCAGCATGTTTATAGAAGAAGAATTAAAAAAGTTGGTTGTTATAGGTTTTGAAAGCCTTAAGCTGTGCCACCATAAGATGATAATAAGATGCTCGCTTACCTGATCGGAGGACTCGAAAATTTGTTCAGTAAATTTTATAATTTATCCCTAGTTGAGTTTTGAGTTGAAGTGACTGTCACTGGATTCTTTTGAACTTTGAATTGAATTGCGCGACTTCTGAGGCACTTTTTCTATTTGCGCTTGAATGTATGTTCAAGGGGGGGACCACATCAAAGGATCTCTAGAAAAAGAAAGTGTGCCAGGGCTAGTAAACCCAAACCGTTGAGGTAGCGTTATTTGATTGGTAAAAGGAGCCCTAGCAGCGACATGTAGGGCTTCAACCATCTAGACGTCGTCGTGCCTCCGCCCGCCCACCGATTGGATACCTCCGAAGCTGGTTCCTCACCGTCAGAAGCTTTCTTTGCAGATAGGGAGCAGCATGCACACGTTGGTGACGCGCGCAGCAATGATAGAGTTCGATAGGAAACCGACGGGGAAAGTGGGGATCCCCTTATGCAGGTTTTAGACCCTCTCCCTTGATTTGTCCTCCGCAGCTGCTCCTCTTAGCTGCTCTATTTTCGTTTCGATTGGATTACCATTTAATCGTGGCCTCCAAGAGAATCCCAAAATATCCCAAAATGAGAACGTTATTTTCTCTCTGACCCCTAGGTTTGCTTGTTTCCCGGAAATTTGCTCTACAAAAAAGGTGACGGTTTTTTAAAACACCCACACGAACTTACCTATCCAGTCTCCGGTACCCACTATGAACATGCCATCATTGTCGCATCCCGAATAGGCACCACTTGGATCGAATACTAATCGGGTCCTGAAATCCGTTATCGATTAGCATTATCGATTGGCAATTGCTGAACTATTGGAGCTGGTCGCACCTTCCCACTAGTTCACCGGCTATGGGTGAATAGATCAGCGGTGCTCGTTTGTCACCACCATCTTCATCCTCAACCATTCGACATTCAATGTCCCATCCACGAACGCCATTATATCGCCTAGACAACTGAATCTTTCGTATTGATCCAATCGATTTTATTGATTTTTACAATGCTCGAAATAAGAAGCAGCACTCACTTGTCTGATTTGAACGGTTCGCCGAGCAGTCTGTTCTTGGAGTTCGACTCGCAGATCTGTCCTGTACACATGCCTGGAAAAGTTTGGGTTAATTGTCGGTAGGAGTCGAACTAGCGAGTTAGACGGTCAAATTTTCCGTTGACTGCGCCTCACGCCACTGAACCAACAACGAAATGAAGCAGAAAAAATCCGCTCACAATTCTGAAGGTGATAGGTGGGATCGATTAGTTTTCCCTCTCGATAGAGCTTCATTTCTATGTGCGGTTCTACATCACGTTGTGAGTTCTGCTCGAAACAATTCCTGAAAAATTATTGATTTTTATTACAAGTTCTTCCACATTGTCTCCCAATCCCCTCGTACCTGTCGACAGCTTTTCCTATTTCGTCTCCAGCCTTCACCTTGCCGCCGTAAAAATCCAACTTCACTGATGAAATGTGAACAGCATAGCCTAAATCAGTGAACCATTTGCATGTTCACAGGGTCTATTCCATTAAAGGGGAGGGGGAGCGGGGTGGGAGGGACGCCAAGTGAAACAGTTCGTGCCCACAGTAATCCCAATTTTCGCAGCGGAAGGAACTACGGCATGGGTGTATGGTGGTGATTATGTATGGAAATGGTATGCACCCTAGGAATCATCCATTCCCCGGGAATCCTATCTCCGCGCAAAAACTAAAATTGCTGCAAAAG